AATAAATTGAACGAAAAACTAGTACTGAAATTTTTCTCAAAAATCTCAACTCAAATTAGAAGAACAAGAAATACTTTTCTTGTAATTGTATTTTCTCTCTTGACTTTGTATTGCACTCTCACTTTCGCAAAATGTTTTTTCTTCTCAAGAATTAATAATGCCGCAAATTTTCTCCATCACCCTTTATATAGCATCACTTACAAACCCTTTTCCTATTTGATTGAGGTAATGATTTACTTAAGATATAAATTTATTCCAAAAATAAACTTGATGGAATTTTCTTGGAAGAATTCGTAATCCCATTCTCAATGGGTAACGTTACCGTCGATTTCATGGAACCAAACATTGGAATTTTCTATTGAAAACAAAGAAACCAAATTTGAGGTGGCAGACGTCCTTTTATGGAGTTTTACATGAATTCAAATTTCAATTAGAATTCACTTAATAAAGTTTCATCAAACCTTTTTATTAATATTTGATATAACATTTTTTGTATATGAAATAAGTGTGTGTGTATATATATATATATATATATATACTAGTATTTGAGAACGCACGTTTGTTACGCCAATAACAAAAAGTTGTCGATAAACTATATTCTTCATCATATAAATAAATATTAATATCGTATTTTAATCGAATTAAAATAGTTTTGATTAAAAAATTTAAAATAAATATTAAGTAATATGTCACAAGTTGCTCCGTATTTAAACAAAATTATAATTTTAACAAAAAGATAGTTAGAGCTTATACTATTAAAGAATGGTATCCTATTCAATTTTTTGATTTTTTATAAGTTACGGGTCTGCATTGTTACTTTTTTTTTTAATTGATATATTTTTTGTATCTATCTTTTCAACTTTAATTTTCATTGCATCAACTTTTATAATATCGTATAACTCTTATATAATTAAATATTTTCCAACCTAATGCCTCCATTTATTGTATTAAGTTTGAATAGAAATTATAATATTTTACTCATACGCAGGACCATTTTATAATAAAATTTATTTGTGTTAAAAAAAGGAGGTTAGGTAAAAGTAAGAACTATATATATTTAATGTATTGTAAAAATTAAATGAAAAGATAATATAATTTTTTGAGAGATTAATTTTATATATTTTGTATTATCACAACTCGCAACTGTATAGGCCAAAATCTGTCTTCAGAATATTTAGCGTAATATGGCATTAAAGAAAGTTATCGGTCGAGCTCGCCCAAGACGCAGCGAGGTCAACGGCCGAAGGTGCCGACATGAGTTGTGGTCAAGATATCGACAGAGATCGCAGTCAGGATATCAACAAGGGTCGAGGTCGAGATTGACTATTGATGATAATACTTGTAACGATTAATTTGTAAGGATAGGGTACTAAAAGAGAATATTCTAGTGGATATTCCTTGTATTTGTACTATTAGGGTTTTCTAGGAAAAATGCCTCATATATATAGAAAGAAGAGACAATGATATAGGCATGTAATATTCATTCTGATAAGAACACTTTTGAGAAGAAGACTCTCTCTTGCAAAAATACAAAGATTACATTTTTACAAATATTCTTGTTCATATATTATTCCCCGCTTTTTCATCAGATCCGAGGATTGTTCATGCGAATCTTGGATCTATCTGTCATTCATCATTGTCAGGCAAAATATTCATCACACCCATCCATTATTGGGTGAATCATTCTCTTTATTTACTTAAAAGCCATTTATTGACATTTATTGTTAGTTATATCACCCTTAATGTTCTTGTTTTAAGAGTATTTTACATTTATTATCACCAACCATATACGAAATCTGTCCCATCTAATGTACGTTTCTGTGCTTAATATTTAGAGTTATTATCCTTAGTTAGATTTAACCCCGTACAACGTAAATTTAATATTTTAACCGGAGATTATATTTTTTGGTCAAACAATTTGGCGCCGTCTATGGAGATTTTCTAACTAAGTCTTTTAGTTTCTTCTAGATCTACCACTAGCACTGGTTGCTGACGTAAAAAAAAACGAAAAGAAGAACCTGTTTTTCTCTCTGCATGCACAGATCTAACATGGCAGGTAACAGAGAAGAAAGAACAAGAATAATGAGTGACCTCCCAACCAACCTCATGGACATCATCCACAAAAGCTCTGAAGCAGTGGACGAGGACACAACCCCCAATGCCTCCCCTAGGCGAGGTGGATCACCCCCTCCCCACTGCAGTATCATAAAATCCCTTGGCAAGACAGCCTCCACATCCGTGGGAGAGGAGACACCGCCAGCGATAAAGAA